GGGGGGAGACAGAGAGACAGAGAAAGACAAACAGAGATGAGCGTATGAGATATAAGCGAAAAACCCCGGCCCGAAAATAACCCCCAACAAAGCCAAAGCAGGGGGTGAAAGACAGAACAACTAATTACATGTCATGCGGTAACGCCGTGACGCAACTCAACAACGAAACCACACCAGTCTCATTGGAGTAAGTACATGTACATGTATAATATCATCATCATTTTTCCTTATAGTTCTTCAAGGAATTAGTTGGGGCTTTTTAAGTGCGTGTTTTTACGGCAGAAGTGACACAGTCTAGATAACATTTAACACAGGAGGCGGAAAATTTAGACCATTATTTTGGTTGCTTTTAAGCATAAGCGGGCAATCCCGAAAAATGCTGTTTTGAGAAAATCGAAGGTACAGTTTTTGGACCCATGTTCAGTTTCATTAAAAGACAAAGAGAGTTTTTTTTTCTATAACCAAACAAATATACACACCAATGAAACCAAACTTCTCCAATAGGTAGGGCAATGCCCACTTTTGGTGTTGGTCAAGATTTCTGGAAACCCCCAAATCTCGGTTACCCATCTTGTCCTTAAAAGCGACCATTTCTGAGTAGGCTTCGACCGTTATCACGAAGGCCACGCTTCGACCCTGCCTGTCAGGACCAACCCGGGTTCAGGAGGAATCGATAGAGCGAAAGGAGGTGCCAATTGGGGGATCGGGTCGGGTCGGGTCGGGTCGGGTCGGGTCGGTTCGCTAGCCAGATTCAGGGCTCAAAGCGGTTATTGTGGAACAAGCCGATCACGCCCGACTCATTGCCTCAAAAACAAACGCGTTCGTTTTCAGGCGACGAGTGTGGCGATCGCCCCCGACCTAGGCCTTCACTGAGAGGCCTAGCCCCCGACCCGACCCGACCCGATCCCATCCGAAACGGGCACCCAGTATAATAAGATCCTTGACCAGGCTTGTAAACTCCTTGTCCTTGACCCAGTGTCAAGACTGAGATACCGATAAGAATTATCCCTACAGACGACTTGAACTCTGATCTTCTGCGTGGGATGCGAGGCTACAACTCCGACGCCGGGAACGGGATCAGTGACAAGTAGGAGAATAATAAAAGAACGAAATACGTAACATGCACTACGTACGTATACTTGTAGTAGGCAAACTCAACGTGTCTTGGACTGAAGGGCTAGCCTAAGGTCATATTATGACAAACACATTTTTCTTTTCTTTTTTCCTTTCATTCTTTTTTCTTTTCTAAGTAGGTGTTCCGTTTCGCAACCAAAACAACCCACGAAGGCCGCGGGCAGAAATGCGTGGGCCAAAATGTTGTATTGCAGAATGGTCCGAGAAGCATACTACTCCTCCTGCTACTACTATCTCCTACTCCTACTACTACTACGAAGAAGGAAGGAAGGAAGGAAGGAAGGAAGGAAGGAAGGAAGGAAGGAAGGAAGGAA